ACAGACAGACAGACAGACAGACAGACAGACAGACAGACAGACAGACAGACAGACACAGACAGACAAACTCAAAGGCAGACAGATAAACAGACTGAATCGAAAGACCGGCAGCCTGAAAGACAGAAAGGCGGACAGATGAACTACAACAACTGTATCATTATTATTTATAGATAGTGTTTTTCTGGGAATCTCCACCAACAGGTAAGGAGGCTTCCAAACAGCGACCAGGCATGGAAACACCAGAGGAGGTCATTCATAAGGGTCAGGAAGGAGATTGGGCGCATGATCATCACGGAGACACAAAGAAACAGAAGGTGAGTCGATCACTTTCGTTACACTGAAGCAATTTCTAAAAGTATATTGTACAGTGGAGTTCGGTGAAACCAAAATCTGCAGGGACTCCTGAATATGATTTGGTTTGGCTGAGTTTTCAGTTTAGAGAGGTTGCTCAAAATGAAGAAAAAATTGGGGTATTTTCATTTCTTCTGGTTTATCACTGTTTTTGAATTAATTGTGTTTGGTTTAAGTGGAATGCACAATATTATATTTTGTCTATTTGAAAGGCAGTTTGTTTGTTTTTGGAGGGTGGGAGTGATAAATAATAATTGAAATTGAAATTGTATAGGTTTTTAACGCCCCTTGCAACATTGTAAGGCTGGGGTGATACATGGGAAAACCCAAAATTTTGCTAAGTTAATAAGAGTATAAGAGTTTTAAGACGCTCGCAACTGCATAAGGTCATACTATGAGCGAGTGAAACACAAGTTGGTTGCATTCACAACAGTTCACAGCACAGCTTGGTTTAGATCAATATTTCGATAAGAATGTTAAAGATTTGTGGTTAAAATCTTGATTCTAAATTAACACTTTAAATAATATTAAAATAATGCTATCTGCAATTTATTGTAAAGGCCAATGACCTTTATAAAAACGAGAATTTTGCTGGGATCAACGATGGAGAACTAATCTTGTAATTTTTTGCACTTATTTAAAATACTTCCTTCGGGTCTCTCCAAAGTCTGGACATTCTGTAAAGATGAGTGTGATGGTGAAATCTGTGTTGCATCCGACACAGAACGGTTTCTCATCTCCCTGAAGGAGGTATTTCTGTGTCAGGGAGGTGTGACCGATACATAATCGAGTGAAAATGACTTCGTCTCTTCTGCGGAGGACTAAAGTTTTCATGGACCTAGTTTGGGCAAGATGTTATGGAGTTTATTGTTTATTTGTTTCTCCCAATGTGTCTCCCACAAACTGGAGGTGTACTTTGCAATGTATTGAAACAATGCTTTTGGAATGGGTTATTTTTTCTTCTCTTTATTAGAAGGCAGTTGCTGTTCGGAACTCTGGTTTGTTTGTGTGACTGTTTGAGTGAAGAGAAGAACACAGACACAATTAATTTGATCAAATAGTGCTGGGAAAATGTTTGACACAGACAGACAGACAGACAGACAGACAGACAGACAGACAGACAGACAGACAGACAGACAGACAAGACAGACCAGTTGCATCCTCCGACCACCTGCAAAAGATCAGAACTCTAAACAAG